ACAATCCCGAGTGGTTGTCCCCGTTGTGCTTCGTCACGTACTCATCCCCGTTTCCGTATCCCCGCTTGGCCTTTCCCCTCTCCCCTGTCAGTTGTTCACCCATTTCATCGAGCAGCTCAACGCTGCCATGTACGCAGAAGGGCAACGCGTCATCGTCCTACTTGACAATGCATCGATCCATTGTTTCCTCTCGCCCTAGGCGCACTCGGAGGACGTCTTCAGCTTTCGGGGGGCGAGGCCTCTGTCGCATGAACCTCTATAATTGGGTTACAGAGTTTCATGGGACCGCGCGAGAGGTTATAAGGTGAGTTGTAAAAGTGTATATACACTGTACATTGGCTATCCCAATTGTGCATGGTATACAGTGATGGGCGAGTTGGGGGCGGAATGACGGCAACGTGAGTGGGGCAGCTGGCGAACGGGCCCGGACACTTCAGCAGAGGGGAGAGACAGGCTGGAAGGGGGCATGCAGCAGGTTGGGAAGGGATATTCGGCAGAAATCATGGGGCTGCCACTGGAGGAGATAACCCCGCAATGGCGCGCGGCGGATTCAGCTGGGAGGGAAGGGTTGGGCGCAGGAGAGTGTCCGCTAGGAAGAGTAGCACAAAACAGGAAGCATTCTCAATCGATAGCTACTCTGTTTGTTCTCTCATCATAGTGGGAAGGCCTGTATGCTTGTTTCCTAGTGAATTCTTCGTGAGCATATGCTAGATCCCTAAGGAGAGGCCAGACAGAGGTGGCGGGAGTGGGAAGCTTGGCTGTCCAACCCGTGGCTTATTACAAACAGAGTCAGATGGCGGGCATGTCACTTTGTAGCGGCAAACAAGTGCCCGTGGAAGAGAACTCGTCACTAGGAGAGGATGTGCCCCAAGTTGACGAGGGAGGCAAGGTGCCGAAATCGCCGACGGCAGATCGTGCGGGATCGCGCGCAGAAGATGGCGGAAAGCCAGGCGAACAGCGGACGGAGCATAGAGAGGAGCAGCGTGACTCCAACGGGTTTGCGATGCGAGCGGATCGCCAGGCTGAAGGAGATTCAGCGTCGGCGGGAAGGGGAATTGGAATCGCGCTCTCTAGAGGAGCGGCAGGATCCGGGAGCGGCACGGCACGGCCGCTTCGGAAGAAGCGAGGGGCGCAGAGCAGACGCGGCGACAACGAGCCAATTCGTATCGGGTGGTTCGTCCCGCAGATCCGCCTGGGAGGAGGGAGCGCGATATAGATACACCAGCCTGCCGAAGGTGGAGGTACCCGCCCGCTTCACAGGAGACCAGGAATCGGGACCAAGGCTGAGGACATACGCCATGCATGTCCGCAAAGAGAAGTATTGCTGGGAGCAGGACGGTCTAGATCTCCGGCACTTCTTCCGTTCCCTGGGCAACACGCTGGCCGGGGACGCCGAAGCCTTCTTCCTTGTTTTACGTGACCTACTGCTGCAGGAGGAAGAACGAGATGCGCTGGGAAGGGTGCGGCGCGATGCCGAGGGGCAAGTTGTGAAGCTGCTGGACCCCACCGAGCGGTTCTTGAGCGAGCTGCAGGCGAACTTCCCGACGCAGACGCCAGCACGGTTGCGGGAATTCGAGCAGCTGCGAAGGGCCCCCCGAGAGTCGCTTCTCGCCTACTACCGTCGGGTGGATCAGCTAGTAGAAGATATCAGCTGCAACGAGCCGCGGATAGTGGTGGCGAAGTTCCCAGAAGGACTCTCGGGCGAGTTAGCTCGAACGGCGCGGGACCACACGTACAACATGGGTCCGAATGTGATGCTAAGGCAAGCGTATGAGATAGCGTGGCGCAACGAGCAGTCGCTGAGCCTGTATGATTTGGGGAAGAAGCCCGACCGAGCAGGAGTTCGAGAGCGCGACAGGTGCGGAATAAGCTGGGGAGGAGCACTGCTGGCAGGAAGCGAAGGGGAGGAGGAAGGCAAGGGAGAAAGCCGAGGGAACCGAGGACAACCGCAGCGTACGCGGAGTGCAACGCCTCCCCCTGGTGAAGAGCCGGTGTGTTATAAATGCCGAGAGCCGGGGCACTTCAAGCGCAACTGCCCTAAGCTGCAAACCTGCTCCTATTGCCAGCGGAAGGGACACGCGGTGGATAGCTGTTACACCAAGCAGAGGGAGGAGAAGAACAAGGGAGGCAGGAGGGGACGTATTGAAGCCCTGGAAGAGGAATTGAAGAAGCTGAAGGCAGAAGAGGAAGGCGATGAGGAAGAAGAGGATCGCTCGGCCATGCTGGCGAAGGCGTCGCCTGGGGGCGAGGAGGACAAGGGTGAGCTCTTCTTCATGGCAGCAGGAACAGAGTGAGACAGAGAAGATTTGGGGCTGCGAATTGGAGGAGTGGATGGCAGGCAGGGATCGCCAGCTCCTCGACGAGGGTCAAGAGCAGGGCTGGCGCAGCCAGTGGAGCAGGCAACGGCAGCGGCGGCTGAGGCTGTGGCTTGAGCAGGGGGCAGACACGGCCCGCACCGTCACCCTTTTGAACGGCTGGCGGCGCGACCCTGCGTGGTGAAGGCAGGGGAAGGAGCAGTAGCAGTGGAAGGCAAGTATCCGGGGACGACGATAATAGACAATGGGGCATCCCAGGTACTGGTGGGGAGGCGACTGGCCGAGTGGTTGGGGCTACACAAGGAGGAGAATGTGACCCCAGAGGGAGTGCGCATTCAAACGGCGGAAGGAGGGGCAGGGAAGTGGCTGCCCAGGACCCTGAGGCCATTGGAAGTGGTGTTGTCACCAGGGTCAGAGGATGAAGCAAGAATCTGAGTACATTGCTTGGTATCGGACTCCGATGACTATGACCTCTTGCTGGGAATGGAGCTCCTATACAAGGTCGGAGCCGCAGTGGATACCTGGGCAGAGAAAGTGTCCTATCAGCCCCGCTACTAGGACCACGAGCTGCGAAGGGAAGAGAGCACCGCGGCCACTCTGCCAGCTTGCTTCCTGCAAAGGAGACCGGAGTACAGGGAGCCCCCAAGAGAGAAGGTGCCAGAGTGGAGGTTCGAGGATGCAGGGGTGTACCTAGAGCGAGCGAGCAAACGCAGGCGGTGGGAGGAAGCTGCCGGTCCGGGGAAAGCAGATTTGCGAGAGGCTCGAGGACTGGCGGAGCCAACCTACGACTTTGAGACCTTTAACCGGCCCTTGACCCTGCTGGAACTCTTTGGGGGCATCGGCCCAGGACTAGCAGCTTGCGTCCGGATCGGGCAGACCATAAAAAAATGGGTATACGTGGAGAAAAATGCTGAGGTCAGAGAAATGGCCTTCCACCATGCAAGGTTGCTAAGTCAGCAATTCCCGGACAAGCTGCAGCCGGCGGTGATAGCGGAGGCAGAAGCAGAGGCCCAACGAGTAGGCGATGTCAGGATGATTACAGAGGCGGTGGTGGTGGGCTGGGGGCAAGTAGACTTGCTAGTATCTGGGTGGGAGTGCCAAGGCTTATCCAGGGCAGGGAAGGGCAAGGGATTAGCCGATCCCCGAACGGGACTCTTCCACGAGCTGATACGGGTGATGAAGCTGATCAAGCGGAGGAAAGGACCCGTATCATACATAATAGAGAACCTGGACGTAGCAGATGACCAGAGGAGTCTGGTGCGAGAGGCACACCGGGCTGTGACGGGAGAACTAGGGCACAGGGTGGCGTGGGATGCAGCCCAGATGGGATCCAGGACGCATCGGGTGCGTCGCTACTGGCAGAACCTGATACCCGAGCCCGTGCTACGAGACCAGCTCAGCAGGATGCAGCGTCCCTTGCCGCGGCTGGTGCAGGACATCCTGGAACCGTGAAGGATACCAGCACCAGTAACCACCCCCGACATAAAGACCCAATTCCCTTGCAACCAAGTGGGGGCACCCCGACAGGCCTGGCCTACCTTGGTGGCGACCCCAGGTAGTTATGCATTATGTATGCGTGGCGGCGAGCCTGGGCCGGGAATGGTTCAAGTGTTGGAGACGGGGCAATGGGAGGAGCCCATGGCCGTAGAAAGAGAGAGGGCCTTGGGATACATCAGGAGTGCTACGGCAGCAGAAGTCATTTCGGAGGAAGCCCGCAGGGAAGCGTTGGGGGGAGTGATACACCAGCATGCGTTGGTCTGGCTCTTGTACCGAGTACAGAAGCGACAGGAGGTCATGAGGATGCAGTTGCTGATGCACTGGAGGTGGAGGGATATAGAGGAGATGCTGGAGACGGATCCAGAGCAGGCAATGGAGGTGGCTGAGGTGTGGCAGCGTATGAAGGCAGAAGCATGGATGGAGAGCCAGCAGACCGAAAATCGGTTGAACAGTATAGGCATCGCTTTCCTGGCCCGAGCGATGCAAGCGGCAGAGGGAGAGGAGCAAAGGGTAGAGAAGACAGGCGGAGAGGAAGAGCCCCCACTGACGGCAGAGACTGCACCCGAATGGGAGATAGGAGACGGGCTAGAGGAAGAACAGCAGGAAGAGCTGAAGACAGTGCTGAGGAACGCAAGGGGAGCTTTCGCCTATTCTCTGGAGGAGTTGGGCAAGTGCAATAAGGCGGAGTTAGCAATAGAGCTGCAGTCGGCAGAGCCAGTATACCAAAGGAGAAGGTGAATGAGCCCAGGAGACAGAGACATAGCCGAAGCTAAATGCGCCGAACTGCTGGCTGCCGGCCTTATACAGGAATCGACATCAGACTATGCAGCGGCTACGGTGGTGGCAGCGAGGAAGGACTTGATGGGGGAGACATTAGCACGGAGTATGTGTGGCGATTACAGAGGGCTGAATCGCGTGACGAAGAGCGACAGATACCCCATGCCCATGGCTGAAGAGATCTTCGACAAGCTGGCTGAAGGGAGGTTGTACTCGACGCTGGACCTAAGGCAGGAATTCAATCAGATCCCAATCAAGGAGGAGGATAAGCAGAAGACTGCCTTCCATGGCCCTGACCGTCTGTACGAGTGGAACTACATGCCATTTGGGCTCAAGAACGCGTCGGCGAAGTTTCAGCGAGTGATGGACCTAGTACTTCAAGGGTTTCCGCAGGCTATCTGCTACATAGACGATTTGGTGGTCTTCAGCAAGGATGGGAAGCAGCATGTGGCCGACGTGGCGGCCACCCTGGCTGCGATTCAGGCAGCGGGCCTGACTTGTCATCCAGGAGAATGCCATTTCGGGGTAAAGACAGTAGCGTATCTGGGGTTTCAAGTGGGAGAGGGTGGATTGTCAGTTCAACAGGCTAAGGTAGAGGCGGTAGATAGACTGAAGCCGCCTACCAACAGGAGCACTCTTAGAGCGCAGCTGGGATTCTTGAGCTACTACCGGAAGTTCGTTCCGAACTTCAGCAAGACGGCAAGGGCCTTGAACCGACTCTTGCGAGAGGACGAGCCCTGGAAGTGGGGAGAAGAGCAAGAAGGCGCGTGGAGGACGTTAAAGGAGGCAGTGAAGTCGGCGCCCATGCTGAAATTGCCCAACCCAGAAAAGCCATCCACGCTGTACACTGACTGGAGTAGCAGTGGGATGGGGGCTGTCCTGTGTCAGGAGGAAGAGGGGCTGGAGAGAGTAGTGGCGTACGCCAGCCGGTCTTGCAGTCTAGCGGAAGGAAACTACAGCTCCTACGAGGGAGAGGGGCGGGCAGCGGTGTGGGTTGTGGAGCTCTTCAGGCCGTACCTGCAAGGAAGGAGATTTACGCTGGTCACCGATCACCAACCTTTGCTGTGGCCAATGACGAACCATACGCTGAAGGGGCGGAATGCGAGATGGGCTATGAGGCTGCAGGAGTTCGAGTTTGACGTCAAGCATAGGCCGGGGAAGACCCTCCAGCATGTGGATGGGCTATCCAGGCAGGGCCCAGCGGAACCGCCGTTGACCGCGAGCAGTGCAGAGATAGGACTCACCTGCCTGGCTGTGGCAGCCAAAAGGGAGGGCTTGAGTAGGCGGACAGAGAGGGAGAAGGGCTGTCGAGAAGTATGGGAGGACCTGCCAGTGCTGCACTGGGTGCAAGGAAGGGGGCCCGAGGGAGAAGAGGTGCCCGAAAGGGTCTGAGCCAGAGGGGTACACTACAGATGGCAAGAAGATCAGCTGCAATTGGTGACAGAGGATGGCTGGAGGATAGTCCCCAAGCCAGAAGAACGCGAGGCTTTGATTTTTAAAGTACACATGCGCCTGGGACACTACGCTACAGAGAGGACGATGCAGCTGCTGCAGACCATGTATTGGTGGGCGGGAATGCGGAAGGGGGTGAAGGAGGTCGTGGAGAACTGCGAACCATGCCGGCGGAGCAAGGCCAGATTGGAGAAAACGAAGACGGAGCTGCAGTCCTTGCCCATTGGGGCTATTGGTTTCCCATGGTCATCGGACATCGCCGGGGAGCTGCCCCTGTTCCGAAGAGGCAAGCAGTACACATTAGTCATGATAGAGCATACTAGCAAGTGGATAGAGGTGGCTGCGCTGACTCGGAAGACGGCGGCAAGGGTAGCTGAGGCCTTCGTCCAGCAAGTCTTAACTAGGTTCGGAGCATGCGGAGAAGTACTGACAGACCAGGGAAGTTAATTCGCCGAGGAATTCGATGCACTCCTGCAGGCGGGCATCACGTATAGGCGTACGTCGCGTTATCACCCCCAGGCAGATGGCTTAACAGAGCGAATAGTGCAGACGTTGAAGCAAGGACTCAGGAAGTACTGTGAGGAGGAGGAGCGGAGGGAGTGGGACCGTTACCTGCCGTGGGTAGTGGCTGGCTACCGCTTTAGCAAACAGCAGACACTCCGAGACTACTCTCCCTATTACCTGCTCTACAAGAAGATACCAGTGCTTCCTGTGGATGCTCCACGAGTGTTGCTCGAAGTAGTGGACACGGAAGACCCTCGTAATTGGGCAGCAGTGGCAGCAGTAAGAGCCAGTTACCTAAGGAGCGCTCTGCCCGCTGTTCTCGATAACCTGGAGGTCGCACAACTGAGGGATGCGAGACGGTACAGACAGCGCAAGCAGGGGGAGAGTGGCCGGCGCTCGGAGGACAGCACCGTGCAGATCGGGGACGAGGTGTATCGGCCGGAACCAAGACGGAACACATTGGAATGCGGGCTGAGCAGGCAGCGCTGGATGGTGCGGGGTAAGAAGGAATCAGGCGTTCTACAGCTGCAGAACTGTCAAGGCTGGATGGCGGAAGATCATGTCACTAATGTTGCCAGGGTTGGGCGTTCACGGCCGGGTGGCGGGGACGCTAGTCAGGCCGTGAGGGGGCAAGAGCCAGGGAAGTCAGAGGTCATCACATACAAGCGAAGGCTAGGGAAACCAGCTAACAAGCTGAGCTAGAGGCCCATGGGGAGAGCCACCGGAGAACAGGGAAGGTGTGCGACAGCTATCGCATGAACCTCTATAATTGGGTTACAGAGTTTCATGGGACAGCGCGAGAGGTTATAAGGTGAGTTGTAAAAGTGTATATACACTGTACATTGGCTATCCCAATTGTGCATGGTATACAGTGATGGGCGAGTTGGGGGCGGAATGACGGCAACGTGAGTGGGGCAGCTGGCGAACGGGCCCGGACACTTCAGCAGAGGGGAGAGACAGGCTGGAAGGGGGCATGCAGCAGGTTGGGAAGGGATATTCGGCAGAAATCATGGGGCTGCCACTGGAGGAGATAACCCTGCAATGGCGCGCGGCGGATTCAGCTGGTAGGGAAGAGTTGGGCGCAGGAGAGTGTCAGCTAGGAAGAGTAGCACAAAAAAGGAAGCATTCTCAGTCGATAGCTACTCTGTATGTTCTCTCATCATAGTGGGAAGGCCTGTATGCTTGTTTCCTAGTGAATTCTTCCTGAGCATATGCTAGATCCCTAAGGAGAGGCCAGACAGAGGTGGCGGGAGTGGGAAGCTTGGTTGTCCAACCCGTGGCCGTCAACCCGTGGGGCAAGAGCCAGGGAAGTCAGAGGTCATCACATACAAGCAAAGGCTAGGGAAACCAGCTAACAAGCTGAGCTAGAGGCCCATGGGGAGAGCCGCCGGAGAACAGGGAAGGTGTGCGACACCTCTCCCACATCCGCCTCATGAAACTCCCCTCGAACACAACCTCCTTCACACAGGCCCTGGACCAGGGGATCATCACGGTGACGAAGGCACGATACTGCTCCCTCTGGCTGCAGGAGCTCACCCGCTTGTGGGGAGCCACGGGTGCCGCTGCCGCCATGATCCACAACAAGCCCAGCATGCACTAGTTGGTGGAGTGGATCTAGGAGGCATGGTCCTCTGTTGGCGTGCGCACCATCCAGCGCTGCTGGTGGAGGACCGAGTGCCTCCCGGCAGAGTGGGCGGCATGCCAAACATATATGCATATGTTCTTATAGGCTAGATAGGTGAATGCTCTTAGAGAGTATAACACTAGCACATAACTACCCTGTACACCCTATTCTAGTCAATTCGTTACTCTGAGATGGTATCACGCTAGGCTAGGCCCTCCCCGCCCACCCGCCCTTCCGCCCTAGCCCTAGTTCTCGCCCCTAGCCCTTGTCTTAGCGCGATGTGCGGCTCCTAGCCCGCCGCCTGTTGCTAGCCGCCCGTCACTAGCCGCCCATCGCTAGCCGCCCGTCGCTAGCTGCCCGTCGCTAGCCGCCCATCGCTGGCCGCCCTTCGCTAGCCGCCCATTGCTAGCCGTCCGCCGTTGGCCCCCGTTGCTAGCCGCCCGTCGCTGACCCCCGTCGCTAGCCGCCCATCGCTGGTACCGGTCATTAGCTGCCCGTCGCTGGACCCCGTCGCTAGCCGCCCGTTGCTGGACTTCGTTGCTAGCTGCCCGCCACTGGCCCCCGTCACTAGCCGCCCGTCGCTAGCCCCCGTCGCAAGCCGCCCGCCGCCGGCCCCCGTCGCTAGCCGCCCGCCGCCGGCCCCTGTTGCTAGCTGCTTGACGTGGTCCTACGCTCGCCATTGGCCCATGCTCACCCGCTACCCCACGCTCACCGCTGGCCATACGCTCTCCCGCTGGCCCCACGCTCGCCGCTGGCCCCACGATCGCCCATTGGCCCCACGCTCGCGGCTGGCTCCTAGCTTGCCGCTGGCCCTTCGCTTGCCGCGCGCTGGCCTGAGCTCGCCAACCCCTTCTCATCGGTGCTGGAGAGGGTTCTCGTTCTGGGGGTTTTAATTTTGGGGGTGCTCGTCCTGGGGGTACTGTCGTGGCTCGTCCCGACGTCTTTGGGGGTGGCACCAGTGCTGGAGAGGGTTCTCATTTTGGGGGTGCTGTCATGGAGCGTCCAGGAGGTAGCCGTGAAGTGGCTGGAGGTTCTAGTGTTGGCATGGAGCAGCAGCAGCAGACGCCGCCGGTGTTCGCCCTTCGCCTCCTGGGTCTTCCTTCCCCCGACCGCCCGCCTGTGCATCCCCTGCCGCCACCTCCTCCGCCTATCTATGACCTTGTGTTTCCTCCGCCGTACTCGTCCCCGGCTCATTTCCCCCCTCGTTCTCCTCTTGTGTCTCCACCCTTGTCTCCTGATCCAAACCCCCACCTCCTGCTGGTGGTCTCACCATGCCTCTCGTGCTCGTCATGTTTCTCCGGTCTAGTGCTCTCACCCTATGTTGCTCCACTCTCACTCATCTCGTGCTCCTCTTCTACCGTTGCCTCCTCAGTCGTCGCTTGTTGTCTCTCCGCCTCCTCTCTCTAACTTCCTCCGTGCCGCTAGTCTCCTTGTTCCTCGCGTTCTCGCCTCTCTTGTTACCGATCCGTCCTTTCCTATCTCCAATCTTGACGCTCTTGTCGCTGTCATCGCTGGCTTTGCCTCTACCCACCGCCTTGACTACGCCATTGCTCTAGTCTCTGACCCTGCCCATCCTCCGTCCTTCGGGGGTGCACTTGCCCTTGGCAGTGACGTCCTAGAGGACAGGCAGTCTGAGCTAGCTTTCTTGTCCGAGGCTGCTCCCCATCTCTGCTCCATGCAACTAGTCCCTGAGGGTGACCCAGATGCCCTTGACATCCCGACCCCTCGCACTGACGCTGAGGCGACCTCGGGACCCTGGGCCTCTCAGTGGATAGCTGCCATGCCCGTGGAGATGGCATCTTGGAGATCCACCGGCACCTACGTCGACACGGTTCCCCACCTACTCTGAACGTAGTCGATGACCGGTGGCTCTTCAAGGTGAAGCGCCCTCCTAAAGAGTCGCCGGTGTTCAAAGCGTGCTTCATTGCTAGAGGCTTCAGTCAGTGCGAGGGTGTTGACTTCTTTCAGAACTTCGCCCCGACCCCGAAGATGACCACTCTTCAGGCGCTACTACACATAGCTGCACAGCAAGACTAGGAGCTGCACTCCCTCGACTTCTCTACAGCGTTTCTCCAGGGCAATCTGCACGAGCAGGTCTACATGCGCCGCCCGCCAGGCTTCACTGGCACCTTTGCCCTTGGGACCCATTGGCTCCTCCGACGCCCAGTTTATGGCCTGCGGCAGGTGCCCCGTGAGTGGCACGATATGCTGCATGCTACGTTGGCTGACCTGCAGTTCTTCCCGACCTTTGCAGACCCTTCGCTCTTCGTTCGTTCAGGTCGTACCTCGTTCTACATCCTTGTCTACGTAGACGACCTGGTCTTCGTTAGAGCAGACAAAGACACATTGGCCTCCGTAAAGGTTGAGCTGCTAAGGAGACACACCTGCACTGACCTAGGACAGCTGCACTGCTACCTTGGCCTAAAGATCTCCAGGAACAGAGCACCACGCACTATCACTCTGACACGGTCACACTTGGTGCGCCAGGTCCTTCAGAGGTTCGGTATTCAGTTGTCCTCCGCACAGCCCACACCTCTGCCAATGGATCACAGGCTCTCGGCTCCAGTCCCTGAGGAGTCGGTAGAGCCTACCTAGTGGTCCTATGCAGAGCTGGTGGGTTGTCTCATGTACAACTCGCACTCGTCCAGATCTCGCATACCCTCTCAGCATCATGGCTTGCTTTGTGGCGACAGGCAGACACCGACCTCAGTACTGGTTGGTCGTTAAGAGGTTTTTGCAGTGTCTAGCAAGTACATCAGGCATGGGCCTAGTGCTAGGAGGACGCAGTACAGTGGTCCTTACTTGGCACACAGACGCTTCGTGGGCGGACGACGTTGAGATGCTCAGGTCCTCCCAGGGCTACTGCTTTAGCCTTGGTGCAGGTGCCATCTCGTGGAGATCCACCCGCTCGTCGTTTGTTGCACAGTTTAGTTATGAGGCTGAGATCTACGCTGTGCCATGGCGGCAAAGGAGCTCCGCTGGCTGACTTTCTTGCTCACAAACTTTGGTGAGCGGCCTAGCTCTGCTTAGGTTGTGTCAGGAGCCTCGACTGGAGGGTGGAGCGAAGCACATCCAGCTGCGGGACTTCCTCTTGCGTGAGCTACAGCAGCGGTACTTCCTCCTGTGCCAACACCACTGATATCTTTACTAAGGCGTTTGCGCCTAAAGATCATCAGCGGCACTGTGTACAGCTTGGTCTAGTTCCTGTAGCTCCTCACTTGCTAGGGCCTTGATTGTGTGCTACTCTTTTTATATATTCTCCTGACTGACCTTGTGGCTTCTCTTCCTGTGGTCGGACTAGTAGTGCCGCCCTGGTTTGCTCTTGTCCAATTTGTACTCTTCTGATTGGTCTTCAAACCCTTGTCTCAGAGGTTGGACTAGTAGTGCCACCTTGAGTTGCATGTCTCTTGCCAGGCATTGCCCCTT